CTCTTTAGGACAGGGAGAGCTACCTAGTACATTGCCAGCCTTGTGGAGGCTGGTGTAATCTATCTGTTGCAATTTGTCACTGAGTGGGAGAGTAGCTCACACTTATTTGATAAATTTTATGATTTCAGACAGGGCAATGCACAACACTGTTTTTGCTTCAGGGCTTCCTTGTTCATTGCTATACTGGGCAGCATCACTTTCTTGCGGTTGTAGGAAGAAAGACTATTGTGAAAAAGTGTACCCCTTGTTCCCATATGTGCAGCTTCACAATAGTAAAAGCTTCACTCAAAAAGGTTTAATCAGGTAGTCTGAGGAAGAAACTAGTACCCAATACTACTTCTGCTCCTTCAGTAATCTCCCTGATGCTATTGGCAAGTTTGCCAACTTTTGTCTCAATTTCTACTGCTGTAAAAATAAAATGCTGCAATGAGCCTTGAGATTAAGTGAAATGTGAGAATTAAATAGATGCTATTTTGTTTGAATGCAAAACAAGTCTCCACCAGTACTTCTCATTTGCCAAATACTGTAGCACTAAAAATGCCTGTTAAATGTTGTGTCTCCTTTTCTTAAGGTTGATCTGCAGTTGCAAGAAGTAGCTTTGAAAATGAGACAGCTTTAAAGAGAGAAACCTGAATAGAGATCACATTTCTCTGACTGAATTAAATTCTTACTGTGGCTCTACTTTGTGCCATTCGGTGAGCGTGCGCGTTCAAAAACGTTTCACTTCGCGTAGAAAAGCAGCATTTATTAACAGAGCAGTTGGAAAGAGCATCCTTCCAAGCTCCTGTGCACTGCTAGTACCTCCAAGTGCTCCCAGGCACACTTACTAGAATACATGAGGGGCCTTATTTTGCCATCTTAATTCTGTTTAACTGTATGCTTCTATTTCCTGTGTGTTCTTGCAGCTAGGTAGCAGCATAGCCTCTGATTCATGAATTGTGATGTAGAGAAACTAAAAAGTTTTTTTGCAGAAAAAAAAAAGAGAAAGCAAATATAATCCTATCATCTAAATATAAATTCCATCCAGAGAGGAAATTTCATGACTCTAAGTGACAGCTGCTGAAAATTATCAAATTGCTGATGCAACTTTTTGACTTGTAATAGCATAAGGTATTAACTTCTAAAACAAAGCTATAACACACCTTTATTTTTCAAATATGCCAAAATGACCAACAGGAACTGTCACTATGTTTATTTTTTTTTTAAAAAAAAGATACTTTATGGTTGTTCATAAAGCATATAAGTGAGTGCAAGCTAAGTTATAAAGATATTGACAAGTATATTATACACGCACACGTCTGTACGTCTATAGACTAGGGCTAACTTTTACAGATGTGGGGTTTTTTTCTGCCTGGAAATTTAGTTATAGAAGGGTCTATAGGTTTCAGTCACTCATCTGACAAACTAGGTTTTGAAGGAGGTAGCTGCACTCTGATCTTTTACATGTTGGAAGATCCTGGACATGTTCTATCTATATAGATCAGCTTTATGCTGGACATCTGAAATGCACATGTGGAAAACATGACAAGATTGGAATGAATTCTATGTAATGTACATGTGCAGATCCAAGTGTACAACCTTTAGCCAGCAAAGCAAATATTTCCAGATCCGTGTACAAACAACCCTATCAGTGCAACCCAAAGAGATTGGTCCCAGATTGAACATCCAACTCATTGCACATGGAACACGTACAGCCTGTTTGAGAAATGCTGGGCACTGTTCTTTAGCCACACACCTCTGAAATGTTTTTTCCTGCTCACTCTTTCATACTCAAGCCACCAGGATAAAGCAAGGGTTAAGCTTCCACCTTTCTTTCTTTCTTTACAGAAAGAAGACTGTTCCACAGTACCTGGGCCCTGGGTAAGAACTCTAGGCAAGACAGAGCTTCCTCATATCTCTTTTAAACCCCATAGGTTTCTGCTGTGGAAATGTCCCCTGGATTGAAAATGAAGCTTCTTTTCATTATGTGTGTGTGGGTTTTTTAATCTCAGTCTTCTGGTCCTTGTCAACAGCTTTTGAACATTTTACATGTATGAAAAATTAAGTATTCTCTTGCTTATTCTCTAAGGAAATAGTAGAATTTTTATTTCTGATTGGATTTATATAGTTTTCATTTTCATTCTTGTTTGATAAGCACTTTCAAATCTAGAGGTCAACTTTAAACTAGGACAAAGGCAAAAATCCAATTAAACTGCTCTGAGGGCATCTTAAAAGTCTAAATGAAAAATACGTCTGCCTAAAATAATTACTGAAACGCATAAATACTGGGGCTGTGGTTTGTTTTGCTTTTGGTTTCCTTGTTTTTTAGACCAAATAAATTCAAGTACATCATATCCTCTGGATAAATATCTCTTCATTCACATCAAAGTCTTGTTTGTTCATACTAATGCTGTTTCTATGAAAACCTGGATATGTTGGTGATTGTTAGGTGTAGGAAATCACCAGCTTGTTTGAAATGCTGTATCTTGAGGCTAGCAGAAATGCTGCTTCTTAGTGTGTGGTGAAACAGCCCCTTTAATTCATCATTTTCATTTCTTGTCTGCATTGCTAATTCATCTCAGTGCATTGCTCATTTTTAAAAAACTTTATAAAATAGTTCTCTTGAAAGAAATTTCATTATCTGCAGGGTAAATTGTCTTGTAGAAGAGTGGATTCTAGGTTTTTCCTGCAACTAACGTAGAATTACAGTATTCAAGAAGTACTTCTTTTCTTGTTAAAAGTTGAATCTAATCTCCCAAGTAAAAGAGTGTTTAAAACAGTGAACTGGTCTGAGATCAGCCATTTTTAAGGCAAATCTCTTCAGAGCCATTGAATGTTGTGCCTAATCCTGTTGGCAGCAGTTTGTTTATGGCAGAAATGAATTTACTGTATCTCTTACAAAAGCTTCGTGGAGTGTTCTTAGAGTATAAAATGGGAGCTTAGGAGAATTACAGTCTGGGGAAACTGGATTTGATCTCATCTGAAAACTGGTGTGTGGCCTTAATAATCCTAGCAACACATTTCCTTTGATAGTGTTGCCTTTTGAAGAACTGATAGGCGTTATTGTATTTGCAGGTGACTGGTAGGGGGATAAGAGCAGATGAAACAAAGGGATAAACAATATTGTATTCCTCCTTTTTAAGAAATTAAGAAATTCTTCAATAAAAGTGTTGCTGCTATGATGTATTGAATGATTAAAGGAAATTGGATGGACTGAAGCACCATGAGTAATTTGTAATGGAAATGTCTTTCTCAGCCTTTTTTCCTTCTTATTATACTGTTTGTTATTTTGTCTGTGTTAATTCCTTCACTATTCATTTTTTCATGTTCCTTTCTTTGTTTTACATTTTTTGTCAACCTGTGGCAGGGAGACCTAGTTGTAATACACAATCTTTGGTTCAAACTGCTGCTCCAGAAAGTTCAAACAATCTAAGAGATTGTAAGTTTTTTGATAAGAGTACTTCAAAATCAAGCAATTATTGGTTTAAATGCTGTTGCTGTTTTACTTCTGGGATTGCTTTAGGACAATTAACAAATTCTAAGATAAATAAGAATTTGGAATTTTATGTCTGAAAACCAATCATGTGCAGATATATTTTTTTAAGTATTATTGAACTTTTACGTATTATTTTATTAACAATTCTCAGCTGGAAGTTATAACTTTCTTTTCCAAAAAAAAAAATTACTTTTAATGCTTGCATGTGTCAAAATATGTGAAAAATGTTTCCCTGAAACAAATCAAGGCAATTGGTATATCAAGTATTGTATGTTTATTTGAGGCTTCTCTACAAAACCTATAATTTCAATACTTAAAATATTTCCTATTAAGCAAGTCTATGGTCTCATCTGAGATACACATGATTTGGTAAAAGGAAATAAAAAGGCACTAAAACAAGTTTTGCTGTAACCAGTTGTGAAACTTCTTGCATGACCACTTAATTCAAATAAATGCTTGAAGTGCTGGCTAATATTTTAAATATAAAGAGAGAAAAAAAAAAAAAAGAATTGGATCAGGCCAAAAAAAAATGTTTTTTTTTTTTAGATTTTTTTGTTGTAAGGTTAAGTCTGTCTCCTGTTCATCAATCCTGAATAAGCACAAATGATTATTTTTGGACAAGATTACTTCTATTGGCAGGTTTGGATGAAAGCACATATCCATTATCTTTAATACAGTTTGTCACAGGTATTTCTTTAAAATTGTAGGAATTAATGTGCCTTTAAGGTTAATGGTTCCTCTACTCAGTCTACAGCAAGCAGGATCAGATGCTTTAGAGAAAGAGAGAAAAATGTGAAACCTGTCAAGTACAGAATAATCATTTCAGGCAGGAATCTTTCCTATCACAGTCTGTCTCTTGGCAGAGTTATCAATTTGGGGTAGGATAAAAGTTCTCCCTTATTTTTTTCTTGCTTCTTTTCTTTCATAGTCATGCTAGGTGGAGAAAAGCATAATTACTCTGTTCTGAGATTCAGCTGTTTTCCAAAAGATTGGATTTGTATTGTTCTGCATTCCTGATCTGTGTTCTATCATTAAGGTGTATATTGAAATGCAGCAGTCAATACTATGCTGAGGCTGCTACTCATGGTGATCCCTTTAAAGAAACACTTAACATTTTTTTCAATTAACAGAATTAAAGTAATGCTGAGCCCTCCCACCACCATGTCTTCATATCCCCGTGTAGGCAAATGCCTGCACTACTTGTGCTCAGCAGTTGGTTGTTTTCTCAGTCAGGGTATTTGCAGGGAGGGAGGGGTTGCTACGGGTTTTTCCTTTTTCAAGTGTAATCACAGTCTAAAATATGCTTGTACTGACAAAGGTAGTGTCATATATAAGTAAGTAATTTTCCTAAGCTGTCTTCTTCCACTTAAAATGTAGTTAGCCAAAATGATTCTTCACTTTTTAAAGTCTTGACATAACTAGCTTATTTCTGGACCTCTGGAATACTATTCTTGATCTAAATTTAATTTTTATATGGTGATGAATGTTATCCTCTTTTGAGATTACTATTTCTTTTCTTTGAAAGGATGCTTTTGAGGTGAAATCTGAGGAGCGTGCCAGTGTCATCCAACAACTTGAGCAAACTATTGAGGATCTGAGGACAAAAATTGCAGAACTAGAGAAACAATTTCCTGCCGCAGAGGTACAGACTGCTGGGAGGGAGCAGGAAAATGAGCACGCACATGCAGACTCTGGGGAACTCAGCAGTGTGACTCTTCAAAGGAATGAAGAGGAGACCACACCCAGGACTGTGTCACAGGCGAGATCTGTACAAACGTCACCAACAGAGGATTATTTAACACATACAATGCCTTCAGCCAGTGCACTGCCACAGCCAGCCCCACCACCGCACTTAGAAGGGGGCAAAAGTGAAGGGCCTACTCAGAAATTGCCAGCTCTAGAACTGCAGCCCACATTTTGTTCTGAAATCTCCTTGATTCTGTCACCGAAGCTAGTCTCAGTGCCACTGGATGCAAGCCAATCAGTACCGAGTATACCGCAGTCACCTCTTCCGGGACCCAAAGTTGACTTGTCCCTTGCATTTGAAGGAGAGACTGAAATGACAGTTTCCCATCAGCCTTTAAGTACTGTAGATGTAACTTGTAGTGAACATGCCCCTTCCTTGCCCCCAGAGCCCACATGTAGCATTCCCCCAACACTGCCAGTGACTGAACAGGCTGCCTCCCTGTCTGGAGCACATGGCCATTCCTTTGTTACTCCCATGTCTGTGGCAGGATTACCACTGCCACCACCTCCACCTGGCTCAGGACTCCCTTCCTCTGCTGTCTCAGCAGTGACAGGCCTGGACCACTCTTTCCCAGGTGCCACAATGTCACCTCTCCCTCCTCCTCCACATTTGCCAAGTGGGGAGATACCAACGCTGCCTCCAGCTCCTCTGCTTCCATGTCCTGGATTCCCTCCACCACCTCCACCACCACCTTTGCCTGGAGCAGGAGTCTCATCTCCTCTTCCTGCTTGGGGTATCCCACCTCCCCCTCCACCAGCACCACCTTTACCTGGAGCTGGTGTGCCTCCTCCACCTCCTCCTCTGCCCGGCCTGGGATTGACACCCCCAGCACCACTGCTTCCTGGAGCAGGACTGCCACCACCTCCCCCACCTCTGCCTGGAGGGGGCATTCCACCACCTCCTCCTCCTCCACCACCTCTTCCAGGTTCAGCTGTACCCCCTCCACCACCTCCTCCACCACCTCTGCCCGGTGTAGCTGTGCCCCCTCCACCTCCTCCACCACCTCTGCCTGGTGTAGCTGTACCCCCTCCACCCCCTCCTTTGCCTGGATTGGGCATGCCTCCTCCGGCCCCACCACCATTGCCTGGAAGTGCGCCACCCCTTGCAGCATCAGTCCAGGGCAGCAGCTATCCAGCAGTCCCACAGGGCTTTCTTCCTCCTCCATTACCATCTGGTTTATTTGCAATGGGGATGAATCAGGAGAAAGGAAGCAGGAAACACGTAATAGAGCCTTCTCGGCCAATGAAGCCTCTTTACTGGACAAGAATTCAGCTCCACAGTAAAAGGTAAGTCATAGAGATACGTACAGTGGTGGTTTTGCTTTGGCTGTCTTGATAGTATTGTTCATCATTAGCAAAAGTCTTTCCTGCTAGGTAGGTCTTTGAGAGAGCATCAGTGCAAGCAGGATTTTATGTGTAGCTAGATATATAAATAGGGTGCACATTTTCTTTAAAGCACGCAAAAGTTATTTGCACATGGAAGCTCTCTCATGCGTTTTCAGTGTCCTTTGGGGCTACATATCACATGTGGATAAGAGATCTGGGGATGATGGTGTGCCACCAAGTGTTCTGTGAAATGTTTTTCAAAATGTATTTGTGATTCCCCTCAAATTTCAAGGTAGCATTGGTTTCTCTCTGGAGCATCTTGCAAGTTTTGGTAGTGTCTTCCTTCTAGATGAATCTATGCTGAACACATTCTATCCTTCACTTTCCTTTCTTCACTGACCTTGAAATACTTTTTTTTTACATCTTGTACACTCAACAGACTCAGATTCAATCTGCAATTTATTTGCATAAAGCGATTCTGATAGCCCTTACTTTGACATGACTTGGTTTCAGTTGTTGTTGATGTTTTTGGGGTTTTTGTAAAAGATCGTTGATCAACAAGATCATGAAAAAAATTTTCCTTATAAGTATTTTCCTTATATCTCTGAGTAGTAATTATAAAACCCATCTGCTGTTATTTAATAATGAATTTATTCTTTCTTCTCAAGTCCTTGTCACTGTTGCCCAGGTGTCAGTAGATAACTGTCTATTTCTACTTCTCTTCCTGTCCATGTCTGTACATTTTATAGCCTATATACAGCCTATTTTTATTCCTAGGCATGTAGAGTGGGTGAACATAAATAAGCCTGACCGTACCACACATGAAAAAAGAAGAAAACCAGAAGTATGAGGAAGAATCAACAGTAGTTTTTATCAAAATGCTGCTAATAGAATTTAGGCAACAACTTATAAATTGCTGCTATTTTATTTTTTTAATTCCTCCATTTATGACCTTATTTAGTTTGACATTGCCCTACATAGGTCTTTTGCTTAACTTTAGAGATTCTAGTGCTTCACTTGTGTGGGAAAAAATTGAAGAGCCTTCCATAGATTATCATGAGTTTGAAGAACTGTTTTCTAAAACAGCTGTTAAAGAGAGGAAGAAACCCATTTCGGACACCATTACAAAAACAAAGACCAAACAAGTGAGTACTCATTTAATATCAGATCTTTTCTAGGCTGTTTTTTACATAAAGACAGTTTTTTGCATGCAGCTGAGATGAATTATATCTGGTATGGAATTGTTACCATATATAAATACACACTATAGAAAAATAAGAGAAGGAGAGAATGTAGGATGTATTTCAAAGCTGTACATATTAAAGGCTGAAGATTTATTTTTTCATAAATTACTTTTCAAGTATGTATTTTCTTAAAAATATCGTTGCTTTATCCACTTTAACAAAAATAATACTAAAATAATTAGGTGCATATATGATGCTTTGAAATTGACTGCAGATGTGCAAGGAGTAGTATATATATTATTCTGATTAATTTTATACATTAAATAATGAGTTGCATATGAAGTACCATGACTTCAGAGAAGAATTATGCTTCAGAATCTAATTCCTAGTGTTATACCAATCAGAATGGTTTTAGGTTTGTGTTGTGTTTATGTATATAAAGAATATGAAGTTTATATAGACAATAAATGACAAGCACAGCTGGGAAAAATCCAACATTAATCAAACCAGTTTCTTGAGACAGAATGGTGGGCAATATAATAAAAATGGGAAGAATACTTTAAAATGTAGACGTTTAAACCCCAGAGTAAAAGAATTTAATCTGAATGTTTACATGACTATTTGGCTGTAATCTTCTTGGTGTCTGTGTAAAAATCAAAATTGTGGGGTATGCTAAGTAATTGTCAATTAAACTTTCAGGTCAGAGAGGGGGATGGTCTTATGTGGGTTCCTAAAAAGCCATTAAAGTTCTTGTTTTATCTTGGTTTTGTTCCTGTACTCAATTCAAATCTAGGTAGATCTTTCCATTATCTTTTGACGTGCAGCTTAGTGCTCTACAAGACTTTATTCCAACATGGGATACCAAGTGGTATTCTTTAAAATCTCTATTCACTAAACCTTATATCTGAATATGACCTATTAGGTCTCCACCTCTTAATTCTGGAGATCTTGCCCCCATAGACACATTTTGGTCAGGTGCTTTACTGTGCTGACAACTTGCAGCAGGCAATAGAACTGGTAATGAAGGTAGGATGATTATCCCAAAGTGTTGGATAAAACGGGTGGATGGATGGATGGAAGGAAGGAAGGAAGGAAAGAATAGTGCAAACACACCTACCACTGTGCTGCACTAGGTTGTACTAAGTAACGGAAGGAAATGTAAGATTCCATTGCTATCTTGCTGTCCTGCAGTAAATATCCAAAGTGCAAGACCTTTGCTTCTCTTTCTTCTTTCTAGAAAAAGCTGGTTTTTAATGGTTATTCTTAGCTTAATTACTATCATAATTGTTTAAGTAAAAAAAGGAGTGCAAAAGTGATGCTGTGTGTCCCTGAAAGTTTCGTAAGATTTGGTGATGAAAATCTCCCAACGGAGTGGAAATCATGGCGGTTTACTTCTGTAACATAAAAAGAGCTTAAAGACAGACAGTGATTATGAATAAACATTAGATGTGGATTCTAATACTAAATATTTATTTTTCTTGCAATGTCATAAATTTAGATCTGCTGTCAGTAACTTTAAAAAAAATGTAATGAAAGCTAAATTAAAATGACTGATTGTTCTTAACTTCTTTGAAAAGACCAAGTTTTTTCTGACAGAAATTTCCACACAAGTTTAAGGCAATCAAGTAGTTACTGTCACCCAGGACAAACATTCCTGTGAGCCACCTTAATTCACAGAAGATAATTCTGTTTCTCTTCCTCTGGTAATCAAACAAATGTACTGCTCTCAAAACCAGAAAGAAACTGTCTAATAGAGAAGTCTGGCTTGTCGAATTGTATCTGGGGAGGAAAGATTGACTAAACAGATAAACAGGCTTTCATTAGCACTATGGTTAGAGCTATCATTTATTGCAGATGTCAAGTTAAATACCCATGTGTGAGAATCCAATTAGGGCTTTTCAGAGTATTGCCATAACACAACTGAAATAGAACACCTTCACAAATATATTCCACGTACACAATCTCAGCAGTTTGGAATGCAGGACATTATTTTAGAATTCCCTTAATCTATAGTGCAGTAAACACTTGGATAATGAAGTCTATCCATGTTTAGGAGAAGAAACAGTTACTTGGGGAAAGCATGGCTGTAATTCCACAAGTATGGTTTTTACAGGGAGCACCAAATGCTGTTTAAGTGCTTACTGACTTACATGGCTTCTATGATAGTTACGGGTGTTGTAAAGATCTTACAAATGGTGTTTCTGTAGTGATTTTTACAGGGACATGTTATGCAAAGCAGATGTGTTTTGTCACCTGTTGAACTATGAAGAAGCACTGTACAGAACAGAATCAGGACTCTCACTCTGCCGCTTTCCCAAAAAGCTCTTGTCTGGCAATTGTTTTTGCTCCTTGGGTTGATGTGCAGGGTCTGCTGAGTGAATGTATTGCTTAGATGGATTGGATGTAAAGCACTGGCTACACTGGAAATAGTAGTAATGAAAAAACATACAGATAACTTTCAAATATATAAAGTATTTGGTACTCTGTATAAACATATGAATTTAATAAAACTGGTTTTATTGCAAGCTGAAATAAAAATGTATTTTTGCACATGTCAGGAGGGAGAATTCCAGCTAATCTGTAGAAAGATTTGATAGTTTTGGGATGTTTTAGTGGGTGAAAGATTAATGACTTTGAAGTACACTGCTGTTCTGCACACAGGGCTTTCATTGTCTAAGCCAGGGAGTGTATGCATGTTTGTTGTATATGTACATAGCAATGAACTATATAATTATTTCTGAATAGTGAGTACTTTTTAAGTGGCAAAATTATTCTTATTGCTCTGGGTTGATTGGGTTTTTTTTTTTTTTTTTTGTTAATGAATGAGTCAATTTCACCCTACCCAACTATTGGTTGTAATTTTTTTTTCTCAGCATGATCATCTGCAAGTAATACAATATAAATCTATAAAGCTTTAAAAAAATCAATACTACTCGTAGCATTGAATGAAGGCTTCACTAAAATCCATTCCAGAACATTAAAGAAAGAGAAAGAATGAAGTGTTATTATTTATTTGTGAATGCAGCTGATTTTATTCTTACCACCTCTTATTTGGTGCTATGGCACAAACTATGATTTATTTTGCTCTGTTAATGCATATATATCAAATTCTCAGCTGCTGTAAATGTGTGCAGGCTCACTTAACGGGAATGCCTACTAAATCTTCAAAGAAAGTCCTTTATAGGCTATATTGTAGGTGGGGCTGCCATTACTACCTATTAAAGTGGTCTGACTTTCATTAGAAGTCCCTGTTATAACGTTACCAAAATTTAGCTCTTTAGACTGCAAGTTTTGTTGGGCTGGGTTTTTCCCCCAGTTTGTGTCTCCTTCATTTTGCCAATGTTAAGAAAGGAAACAAGGTCTGCTTTTGCTTATGTCCACATAGTTTCCTAGACTTGAATTATGGAGAAATTTTACAACATGTATATTTTTAGCTGTATAAAGGGTGTCTTGAATTTTGACGCTCTACAGGTTATAGGATTGTTCCTGTTGCTTAGGAGGGACTTCAGGTATAATCCTGAAGATTTTTCTTTGACTTTTTACTGGTAGTTTGGAAAACAGGAGCCAAGAAGAGGGAGGCAAAGGAAGATTAAGAAAAGTAACTGGGGAAGGAGTGAGTAACTGGGGAGATCCGACAGTTGAAAATAGAGAGCATATTAGCTGTGAATTCTGTGTCACCTCTTATTCTGTGCAAAGCAATTTCACTCAGAAACTTTTTGTGAAACTGGGGTGTTTTTGATCTGGGCGATCCTTTAAACAAAATTGTCAATCTCATCAAACCTGTGATGTTTGATCCAGCAGAGGGTAAAACTCGCTCTTGTGTCTTGTTCAGATGTGCCATGTAGTTACAATAGAAGTTTGGATTATGTGGCTGGGCAGCCTTTTTCACAGAAGCCTTTCCATAGCTTGTGTCATCTGCATGAAATGAGCACAGTCCATAATGATTACTTATTAAATTAAGCTGTTACCTGTGTCAGAAATTGCTTTATAGAAGTTGTTGAAGCACTTATAACACAAGTAATTAGTAAAGGAGGAAGAAAATAGTCTTATGATTAAGGCTCATGAAAATGGTCTCATGATAATTCTCTTATTGATTCTCAATATTAAGAATATACTTGCATGGCAAACATTTGCCAGTGTATATTGAATGAGTTTGGTGGAAAAATGGTACATAATCAGAAAACCTTGGTATCAGTCAGCATAATAAGGATATAGAATGGACTGAGCTGACTTGCATAGGTTACTTCCTTCCCTAACTTTTGAACAGTTATTTCAAAATTTTACTGCTAGCCCTCTAACTGTACTTTTGGAAAATATTATTGAAGTAACTGCAGTGAACTATTCAATCACAGACCATGCGCTTATAATCTATCACGTAAATGAAAAAAATGTTAAAGATTTTCTCATGTGCAAAGTCCACTATGAAGCTTTTGACATTAATATTTTAAACACTGTTTCCACCCCAGAATATAAATAGTAGATTGCTGAAATTTCATTTGGTTTCAAAAGCCTTAGGTGCATAAATGATGTACCAATGAAACAGTTTAGATTATGATTTCAGGATATTTGAATTTGAAGTTGGACATAAAGAAGGACGAGAATACTTCTGGAAATAAAATGCCACTCCAGTCTTTAGAGTTAGAATGTGGTTCTTATTTTTCAGTAAGGGACATTTTACTATTGCTCAGCCTCCTGTTGAGGAACGCAATGCTTATCCAACTTAACTAATTTTTAACTGAATTTAAGCACTCTAAGTATTTTTCTCACCTAATGTCATCAATTGTGAATATTAACTGGGGTAACAATCTCTTAGTAAAGGATTACTCCTACAGTAATATTTTTATTATGTTAATTTCAAACAGTGCTATTTTAGTGCTAAAACTGCACAAAAGAGCATTAATTGTTTCTCATCCATATTGGTAAAAGCTTTGAGAAAATGTACAAAAAGTAAATATTATGTT